CACCTAAATCCGATTACGGCGTAAGTCTTGACGCACCACGCCCCCCTCCCGCCCCTCGGCCGCCGCCGTCGCGTGCCCCCAATGCGTCGGCCCCTCCCCCCAAAGCGACTCCGTGCGTAGGGGAGCCTGGCGGTGGGTGAGGGCGTCGCCGCCCCCGCCCCCTCCCGCATTTCCCCTGGCACTAGAGGAGGCGGCGCTGTTGCAGTCGTCGCCCGCCGACCTCGTTGAATATCTCGCTGCCGATTTCTTTGCCGGTGTTCGCCGCGCGATACGTCGTGGAGTGGCACTTCCCGCTCCGGCCCCGCCGCATTACCGTCACACGTCTCTCGGACCCCGTTGCCCTTGCTGCGCCCGTTATTGCCGTCCCTTTCACGTGCCTACGGCCTTCTCATTCTTTTCATTTTCTCCTTTACGTTCTTCAGGATAGCTTGTCCCATTACCTTCACCTCCACCATCTGCATCATTGCGTCATCACTCATCTCCTTTTGCATGGGGCTTTATTACCTCCTCCGCAGTTTTCACAATTTTCAGATCGACGCTAATTTTGCCACCGCAGATGTCCCCAACGTTGCATATATCATTCCGCATACAATCTACTGCTCCGTCGGTTCTTTCCCTAGCTCCTCCACCTTCGCCCTCATTTTCAAGAGCATCGTATCTGCCGCTGCTGCAGCTCCCGCATCCTGTAGGAAAAGAAGTACGCACGATGGGAGGGTCGCGAGGAGGGGGCGGAGTAGAGGATTTGAGACAATGCGGGGGCGAGAGCTCCCCGGGCTCGCACGCAACCGCCGATCCATCCCCATCTACGTCTTCTGCTGCGCTGGGCTGCGGCCCCTTCGCTTCCGTCACACCCACCCCGCCCTTCCCCTTCCCTTGCCCCCGCGTCGTTCTGAAAGTAATTGAATCCTCTGCGGCAAGCTCCCAGGGAACCTGGCCATTTCTTCCGCCTTCCCTTTCCATGTAGCGAGCTGTTATAACAGTTGCGGGGGAGGCGGGGCGCGGAAAAACGCGAACGCGCGATGCGCCGGCGGCCCCGCGAAGCGTCATCTGCCGCGCCCACTCGCCGACGCCCGCTCTGGCGCCGGCCGCGGGGCGGGAGCGGAGCGGGAGCGGAGCGGGAGCGGAGCTCGAGCGGGGCGGCAGCGGATGGAGCGGGCGCGCAACTGCCGAATTCACACGCAACTGCAGTTTATTGCACGTTCAACCCTTACCACTAACACATGTAAAAGTTGCCAACATGCACGATTCGACCGACCCACCGGTAGCTTTTCTGGGTTTCACAGTACGTACACGCTGTTGTTGACTGGTGATAATTTTGATTTGGCAATCTAAATGGGTGTACTGTCTCAGTACTGAGTTGAATTTACATAGGTGGTTTGTGGTGTGACTTTGGAACGTACTTTTTTAGGTTTTCAAAATGTGTCAATTCATTGTGAGATTACTAGAGTTGTTAAATCGTACTTGATAATACGTTGGTAGGTGATGCAAGAAGAATTACGTCTCTTTAAAGTTTCACAAAACAAAGGGTTGGTGCGTGTGTGGCAAAAAATGTCCTCTTGATGCCAACTTACTATAGAAACGGTATATTTTTACACGTACTGTATTGTATATTTTCCGAGGTGTATTTTCGGCGGCCCGATTGCGTTGTGGGCCCAGAGACGTATCCAAATGCGGGTGGAGTTTAGGGCCGCCACTGCCGAATAGGAGAGTGGCGAGTGGTGACACCGCGTCGCGTCGCCGCGCTCGTGGGCTGGCGGAGTGGGCGGGGACCTCCTCCGGAACATCAGGCGTAGGGGGTTGACTGATGGGGCCCACGCGCTCTCGAAATTCGTTCCTCCCGCTGGCGTTCGCTTCACGTAGAAGTTTCGCTCTTACTGCCAATAAAGGGTTCTCAAATGAATATTTAATTATGATAATTGCCGCTGTGTTCTTGTGACTGCGTCCCGACTCGGCCAATTCGTTCTTGCAGCCTCTCCCGTTCTTTGATTCCACGGAGGCGTGATCCTTTCCCTCGACCCATCGCATGAGAAAGAGGAGATGCGGCCGGCTGAAGACTTTGTAATGGTTTTCATAATTGGGCTCCTTCTGGGGCGGATACGGTGTCGGAATTCCAATTTGTCGTTACTTCCTTTCTTCAGTGAACTGCATATTTTGAAACGAACGCGAAATTTGGGGCTTTGTCTCAGCAGAAACAATGAATTCTTGTGATCGTACATATGGTGGCTAATGCTTCATTGTTTAATAATACAGAATTCGCCTTAAATGTAACGAAACGTTTGTTATGAATGAACTTTCGTGTTGATGGCTTCAAGAATCCAGGTCAGATTTGAGGTCAAAAGTGAATTGCTGTTGTAAAATTGAATTATTGTCTCGTTGTGAAAGGAAGTTTTCTTGGAATTCTGAAACATGTTCAGAGACGTGCATCACACGTAAATACATAACATATTAAGGACGACGCGACAGTAGAATGGTGAGGATAACATAGTTCTTCCTCACAATAGAACAAAGAAAAAATATATTGATTTAGACACATAATTAAGTCATTAATCGGATTTAGAGTGATCATCCTCGATCATGGTTTAATGTTATAGACATCATCTAACCCGCGCGCTATTAATAAGGGGATATTTGTAGCGGTATGTCACGCAGATTATTCTCTACTGGGAAGTCTCATTCATAATGACAGTAGTAACTGCATATTGTTGGAAAACGGAAAAAGCGTGCTGTTATTAGCAGGAAAAAGTCTTGAGTTCACTACGCCCATTTACGACGTAAAACGACAATCTTTTCCGATACTCTGTATCGAGTTGCTGGGAAATGATGCCATATAGGTTGATGTATTCCTCTATGCGGTCTTTTGTCCGAGCAAAGAACCGACCGCTGCGAATAATTTGTCTTTTACGTCGTTCACTGCATCGACCAGCTGTTAATACGTCCCTGAGCTCCACCCGCTGGCCGCCGCGCATTGTAATCGGACTAATTTCTCTCCAGCCAGTCGATACCCGCGCGCTTACGCAAGGGTGTAATGCTCAAGGCATCGCAATATCTGCAGCTTTAGTTGTTTTGTGAACGCAAATGCAAGAATGTTAATTACGCATTCATTTTACATTTTTTACTCGTATTCAAACAACATTGATATGTGCATTTAAATGTTCCTTCCTCATGTTGCCACTCCATTCGCAGATTATGTGTATCTGGAAATTCTCTCAATTTTACGGCACGTTTGTGACAGATGTGGATGCATTTTTTGTTTATTATTATTAACCTTGGTTGAACATTTTTAGAAGGTTGGTTTTGACAATTATTCTGAAACTTGTTTTTATATCAAGTCAGTAGTGTGTGGTTTTTGTGTTGATATGACTGATAATAATGGCCCATTTGCGTTTTTCACTGTTCTTCGGGACGTCTTATATCGGTATATAAATATAGCTTTAAATTTGAGAAACTGTAATGTTCGTTGAGGCGTAACTGTAGTTGTGCAACGTCCCGTGAAATACTAATATACACTCTTGTGTACCGTTAGAACATGAAAGAATTTGAAAGGATCAAAGGACATTCAATGAAGAAGGTAAAATCCCGATTGCCATAACATGGCCAAGTGTGTCATGCACTAGGTAGTTTCCGGTGCAGCGGGTGGTCTGTGGCCGGTGCGC